GAAGATGAAACTCAAATACTTTGGCCACCTAATGAGAAGGAAGGACTCGCTGGAGAAGAGCCTGATGCTGGGAACAATAGATGGCAAAAGAAGAAGGGGACGGCAGAGGATGAGGTGGCTAGATGGAGTCACTGGAGCAGTGGGTGTGAGCTTAAGTGGACTCCGGGGGATGGTGGAGGACAGGAAGGCCTGGAGGAATGTGTCCATGGGGTCGCGATGGGTCGGACACGACTTCACGACTAACAACAACAACAAAATTGAAGCATTAACATGAAACATCGCATGGAAGAATGCCAGTACAAACCTGCAACTTGTTCTATTACTCAGCCATATAAGTAGACCTAACACTTGCTCACATTACTGGTGATAGTAATAGCTACCATCACCACATGTCATAACAAGTAAATAAAATGCAATTATAGAACCAAAACAGGTAGAGAGAATATGGCCAAAATGAGATGGGCAAAGATTAACCCACTCACTTTCTAATTACTATAGGATGTTACCTTAGCACAACACATCTAATATGTTTTAGTTTTCTGTAGTAATCAGTTGATGATAGGTAGGCAGCATAGAAGACATCTGACATGGCACAACAGCTGTTTTATTGCAAGCAACTACCTCTGTTTGTTTATGGTATGAGCCAGATGTAAGTTATTAGGTGCTTAGTATGTAAATTGCAATTCCAGTCTATTTGTTTCAGTATGAGGTAGGCGTATTCCATTAGGGTTTTTTTAACCAAAGAAAAAGAAAAAGAAGCAAAGCCCAAGGCAATAGCAAAATAACAACGAAGAGTAACAACAGGATTTAAGTATGGTGTTACTGAAGGAGCAGCTTGTCAAATCTTGCTGCACTTTAATTGAGCCAATATCCCCAAAACAACCTGTACACAGCACACCTTCCTAGGCACTGATCTGTGATTCATTAACACTTGCACTTGATTCCACTGAGTTTAACTTACTGAAGAGCTGAAGAGTCACATTAACCAATATTAGCTACAAGCACTATGACCCTTGCTGATTGGGCACTGAGAAGCTAAATCCACAGATACCATTACCAGTTATCAAAATTGCCCAGTTTACTAACAAGCAAGCTCCCCATGGATCCTTACGTATCTGCGATTTTATGCAAAACGTAGTTCCCTTTAAAGGAGCCTTTTTTTAAGCATCCCAGTGGCTCTTGGAAGAAAGGAGGTTGTGTTGGATTACTAATGCATGTAGACTATTTCAGAAAATGGTTGCAAAATCCCACTAGAATAGTAATAACAAAATAATTTAATAAAGTAAAATAAAGTAATAAAAATGAGACTGTTCCACAAAGGCAGGGATGAAATACAGCTTCTTAATCTATTCAGAACAGGCTCATTATTGCAACCTATAGGTTACGGACCACTCTGCACATCATAATGAGTCAGGGTTCCAGAGGCACCTTGGTTTGCTGAGGCGGGGCCACGTGTGCATGCTGCCCGACTGCTCAACTGACTACTCCTGCAGGAAGCGGCAAAACTGGGGATAGGCAGTTACTTTTGGGTGGAAGGGCTGCACAAGCACCCTCCACAGCAGACTGATATAATAAGGCACTGCCATGCCCTTTGAAGCCACAGGGCATCGCCATGTTCTATAACAGCACATGGCACAGCAACACCCCATACTGCCATAATCCCTTCCCCTCAGGCAGCTTCATCTGTACTGTTGTGTGTGCATGCACGCTTGGATGGGATTCCCAAGCGTGCCCAAGAGATGGCTGGATTTGGTGGGAATGACAGCTCAGACTCTGAGGAGGATAAGGGGAGGGCTGAACCAGACGTGGCTCAGAGTTCACACTCTGATAACGGAGTTGTTGTTGCGACCAATAGGCCCACATCTGCTCAAACTCTCCCGTCATGCCAGCCTGGATCAAGGAGTCCAAGGACAACCTTGGGCCCCTGTCTCCCTTCCACCTGTGGGAACAAGGAAGATGAAGGACAGGGGAGTCCTTGGGGGAGTCCTCAGAGGGAGAACACGATCCTCCTCAAGATGTGGAAGTGAGGGCCCATCTTCAGAGCCACATTAGGGGCTTAGAGTGCAGAATGGAGGCACATGTACTTTCCCATTATCCCCCATCCTCAATTCTCTAGAAACTTGGGATTCGGAGCAGAAAGGAGAATCGCCCCATCAGAAATACTTCTCCTCCCATAAGACTTGAACTCAGGGGTAACCCATGAAGCTGATTGTTGGGAGGTTTAGGACAGATAAAAGGGAGTACTTCACACAGCATTTAGTTAAACTATGGAATTCACTGACATGGGAAGTGGTGATGGTTGCCTATTTGGATGGTTTAAAAAGGGATTGGACAGATTCATGGAAGAGGAGGCTATCAGTGGCTACTAGGCTTGCTGGGTAAGTGCTACCTCCTTTACCAAAGGTGGTGTGCTTGCATACACGAGTTGCTGAGGAGCTTGGGCAGGGGGAAGTCTTGCGCCTGTCCTGCTTGGGCACCTGGTTTGCCATCATGTATACTGAGTGATGGCCTAGATGGATTTTGATCTGATCCAGCATAGCTTTTCTTATGTTCCTATGTTCTTATTATCACCACAGGATGTGGCTGGAAGGGGAACTCCTGCGGAATGGATTAGGCCTGCAGGACAGAGACTCCCCTGCTCTGGACCAATGAAATCATGGAGCCTCCATCTGTGGTTTGTCTATAATGAGGGTTCTGGCTTGCCTCTCACCATCAAGCCAGAGTCATAAGCTAGCAACAATATGACCCTGGCCTGCTTGGAGAGCAACAAGCTAGATTCCCTGCTTTGATATCAAAATAACCCTCCTATGGTCCCAACAGGTATTCTAGACTAGAAAAGGCCTACAGTGTTTTCAATAAAGACATGAAAAAAACCCATCAATCTTGCAGATATCCACTGACTTTATATAGGAGAGATTTGGTTCCCCTGCTTGCTTCTCTTTTCCCCAAAATCCCTTGCTGGCTTGGACAACAAGGGTTCCTAACACAGTCTATTGCTGTCATGTCTCCTAGGTTCTGAGAGCTTAAGAGGTTGGTACCGTCTGCCCTAGCAGTAATTTATAAGGTTGCTTCTGCCTGTCAAGAGCACCTACTTTGTTTTCCCTGATCATATTGCTGGAGAAGAGGCAGTGAAATTTAGCTGAAAAACAACTTCCAACCTGACCAGTTCAACATCATTATACTTCTCTACCTGCCTTACGAAATTCAGCTCTGTAAGTGAATTTCCACTGCAATCTGCAACCTACCAAACTAAAAGTTGCAAATACAAGGAAAAATTGGTAACCTCTTAGCAACACAGAAGGAAAACCTGACTTGGGAAGTGAGGGTATCCCTGGTTTGCAGTGTGGTGTTAACATTAAAAGATCTAATCATGTTTTTATATTATACATTTTAAAAGATTTATATCTAGACTGGTGTTGTTTTAATAGCAAACACACACTAAGCTCCTATCTGTAGGAGTTCTAGATTATCACTTGTAGAACTATACTGAACACTGAGCAGGAAGGAAGGGAGATAGTGGCTGATGCATTTCTGCAGTATTCTCCCTGCCACCACAGAATGGTATTTCTCCTACCACTCCATCTACTGTAGGGAGCAACATTCCAGGATGCACCTCAGAAGCAGCTGGGGAGAGGGGAAGATGACAAGCCAATGGGAAGAAGGGAAGCATCATGGGATTTAAAGGGACAGTACATATCTCGGGATTGCAGTTTAGCAGCCTAATAATCTACAAAGGCAAATCACCCGTTTGTGCGCTCATACTCTCACGTGTGTTCTCTCTCTCTATGGAAGTCAACAAAATAAAAATGCAGTTTTATCCCTATAGTCCCAATAAATAATGCAGCAACTAAGCACCCTTATTCAGTTCCAAATGTATAATGAGCAAATGCACACTATGCTCCTGTTTGAAATCCCAATGGAAAATGGCTGGCAGATGTTGCACAACATACTGCTAATTTTGAGCTGTTCATTTATTGGTGCCGCTTCTGCTGAGCCAGAATGGTTCTCAAGAAGAACTGAAAAAAAAAAAAAAAAAAAAAGAAAACCTCCTGTTGCCTTTCTACCATTGCCCCAGGTATTCAGAATAATATCCTCTAGCTTCCCTTTCTTGTGATATATCTAAACACAATTTGCCCACCACTGGAAACTTTGGCAGCAGTGTTGCAATGAGTATAAAATACTTTAATAGAAACTTCTTCAATGCATCAGCTTTAGGGATTCATAGTTGGAGGAATGGTTTTCTTTTACTGCATCTTGATTATTTTGCTAGTCACATGCCAAAACCTTCTTTGAAGAATTATCTGTGCACTAGCAGCAGATGAAGCAATAGATCTTATATTTTCATTCCTGTGGCTGCTAACGGCGATGTTGCCCATGACATGAACAAAAGCAGAATGGAGCGCACAGGACACGGTTCATTCTCCCTTTACTGAATTGCAGCACAGAATATTAAAGGAATTGGCACTCTCTCGTTACCAATACAAATCATGCCTTTTCTTTTATTCCAGTGCTTATGGATAAACAGTTTTGTGCTCAGAGGGACACATGAGAGACGTCTGAAACCCAGAAGAACATAAGGCAGGAGATGGCTCTTTCAACTAAAGTCATTATATGTACTGTCACTACATCTTAACAAACATACATAGAGGGAACACCACAGCTCACTTCAACTGTATACACGTTCTACAGGCTTCCATGTAAATAAATACTCAGATGTGATGCCCATTGTGTGACTCCAACCACACAGCCACCTGTTCTGCGAACTGCTAATCCAGAATAAGTCAGGTGATGGGGTGGGGTGGGGAAGAGATAATATTGTTAGCCGTACCTTTGTGCTTTCCAAAGGATCTTTATGGACAAATGCCTGAACAAATTCTTCAGGGCCAATGTGACTCAGTCTTTCCTTTTCCAAGAGATAAAGTGAAAAACAAGGTGTAAGTGAGCAACTCATACAATAAATTATAAAAGTTATGCATTTTACAGGGCTTAAAATAGCACCATATGGATCTGACAACATATTCAAAAACCATTTATGAAGCCACTGGTCAGTTGATGAGCTTTTCCTGGTTTAACCTCCTCCAGCAATTACTGACAGATAAGTTTGAATTTCAGCACGGCCTATGTGGGCTGCAGCCCAGGGCCCATAGGGTCTGCCTTCAAAATATGTATGGGATGATTCCATCCCAAACCCTGTCTGGGGTGGATGATTTGAATTGGGTCATAAATTTAGACAGTTCTTGCAATAGTTTGAAATCTTGCTGAAGAGATGCAGACCCTATATTGCTTGTGGCAAATATGAATGTGCTCAGTTGGCCCACATCGGACATTAAGATGCCATATTTAGGACAAATGATTTTTTCTGGAAAATGGCTTTCTACATTAATTAGGACAACAGAATTCAGACAATGGGAAAAGTACTGCTTCCCACTTACCAGTTCAACATGCGTTAGCTGTTGGGCCAAAGTATAGGGATCACTGCAGACACTCAACATTTCTCTCTGAATTGATGGAGGTTTACTTTTAAAAGCAACCACCTTGTCTGACACGGTAGCATTGATCTTGACGATCCCTTCCTGGCCATGGTTGAGAGTCGCAAGTTTCTGATTCAGAGTCTGCAGGAGTTGATTCATCTTTTTCCAGTAGGCCTGAAAGTGAGGAAAGGGACCAGGGAGAGGGGGTGGGCACAGAGAAAAGAAAACATTGCAAATGCTAAGCTGGGCAAAATAAAATGGTTTTGAATGAATGCTCCTATTCAAGAAATAACCAGTAGTGGGTTAGAATCTTATTGTCAGGCAAGCTATTCTAGAATGCCCATTCAGCTTAATTATGGCTCCACCCGAGGCACCATCCCTTGGCTCCTGACCACAGGTCTGGCATCCAGCCAAGGTACGTGAGCAGCTGCGCTAAATGTCAGCTCAGCCCACTGACCACAATATAAGTTCCACATGTGTCAACACCAAGGGAGGGGGAAAAAGCAGCAGCGCCACTTAGCTCTGCCTTCTCATTTGGTGGGGGGTGGAGTGGGGTAGTTTCTACAAGGTACAGCTCTTCTTTTGACCGGAGCAGAAAATAACAACCCAGAATGCACTGCAGAACAAGCATCAGTTTAAGACTACTCTCCCTAATCTGAACAAGGCAGTTGTGAAGGGCTGTACTTATTAAAGTCCATTATAATCACTAATACTATTCATACCCTGCTCCCAGAGGGCCTCAGTATTCCAGTTTCAAATATTTGCATTTATAAAAGCCTCTGCAATGCTGGCTTCATACCAAGTTTTGAACTGCAGACTGCCTATCATGTTCATTTGTTTCAGAGAGATACAGGCCACTAAATGTTGCAAAGGTTAGTGCTCTGTCCTATGCTTATGTCTTGTGCACTCACCCTTCTTGTATCATCCCCCTAAAATTAATCACCTCCCTGAAATTAATCTCTGCAGTGGATAATGACCATAACCGGTTCCTCCAATTAAAACTGGTGACATATCGCTCATGGTAACCTTACTCATATGTGTAGTAAGCTGCCCCCAATTATGGATCTGTGAGCATCATTGTGACCAATGAAGAAACACACCACAAATGGTACGGTGATAAGTCACTTGTACTGGAACATTGTTATGATTGGTCCAGTACATCAGCTGGTACATTACACACCAAGTTCATATTTTGTTGTGAGTCGCCCCGAGGCTTTGTTGTGATGGGGGCGGCATAGAAATGTTTTAAATAAACAAACAAACAAATAAATAAATAATATTTCCTGAATAAATAGAATTTAAGGAAATTGCAGTCCTGAACAAAGTTAACTAGATTACTGAAATCCCTAAACATCTCCAAATACCATGCTGAAAGTAAGGACTGGGCAATAACTCTGTTTTAACTAGATTGCTTGTTGATTAAAAATATTACAGTATTTTCTTGCAGGAAACATTGTCACGGGGTGTGATGGGATGACAGATAATGGGTGTAATTATCTCAGTTAATAGCCTCCTGTAAACCACCTGGAGCCTATGGGCATGGGGTAGTACATAAAGATCTAAATAAATAAACAAGATCTGACATATCTGTGGTTTGGAAATCATCTCCTCCATATTGTTAGCCTCAATGTACACACACACAGAGAGAATTTACTGCGATCTGCCTTTTAATTTTCTTTTTCTCCTTTCATCTGCAATGTATTATGTGATACTTGTCACACACCTGATTATTGCTACCCTGCAATGAAAGTCAGTATTAGAAAAGATGAAAAACTGAGAATACTGTCCATACCAACAGCACAGTCTTATTCATGTCTACTAAGTCCCCCCTCAACTTCACCAGGACTTGCTCCAGGGCAAGTATGCACAGGATTGTAGCTTACATGCTAATACGAAATAACACTGATAGAGGTAGCTGCATCACGGCAGTGTGCTCGTCATCATTAATATTTACTCTTGGCCAACTGCAGAATCTGAACTCTATTTGAAAAGGAAACCTAACAGAACTCCTTTTTCAAACCATAAAGATGGGGCTCTAAATTATGGGAAAGACTATCTTGAGGGAAAGTATATTTATTTAACAAAGTCCTGGCTATGAATGTTTGCAGCCTGTAAACCTTGAAGGGCATTTAGCAAGGTCTGACAGTTTGAGGGAAAGGGGCTGATAAGAGAGCTCTCACCTCAGTCTCTGCTTCAGACAGCTGTGCTTCGAGTCTCCTGCTAATCTGGACATGAGCCGCAGTGGAGAAGTGACGCTTGCCACAAGGAAGCTGACAGCTGGGTCAGTGCATCTAGTGAGGCGGGTCAGAGACGCACAGCACATCCGTGGACTCTATCATCCACTGGAGGCACGCTGTACCACACATTAGGCAGCTATGTGCTGCTGACTGCCCGGGGGATTGGGAAAGAACGACTGTGGGGAACACATCTCTTTGCCAGGAAGTGGCAGTGCTGCCGGCATGTGTCAGCCCTCAGCTTGCAATTATATCCACAAGGCAATTTCTCCACTGAAAGCATGGTGAAGCTTCCTATTCCGCACAAGGCTAGGAAACACCTGCTGGTGAAGACAGCTCATCAGAAGTGGCGTTCTCCACGGGAGCAGCAAGCAACCTGTGCTTGGGTTGCCCAGTGAAGCTCAGAAATCTTTATGAAGAATTCATTCCATCCAGGACTCGTCTCCTCTGAGCCAACTGGGGGAAGGGAACGACAGTCCTCCAGCTTGGACTCTGTAGCTGTGTCCAAGCAGACCAAAACTGGACACTGGATGAGCTGGCCTATCATGAGAAGCCATGGTGATTTCTTATCCTTGTTGCTCTATCATGGCATCCTGACCATCATGGTGCTTCTGCACAGTATCTCGTTCCCAAAAACATGGAGAGAATCAAAGGACTGCTCTGAGGTTTCCATGCTTCACCATGGCTTCTTTGCTCATCCAGACCCAAGATCTTTATTGGACCATTGTTAGAATGGAAACACCATGGAGTCCTGTGGAAAGAGCAGCCATAGATGTGGTCGCTCAACCATCCATTTTCTGCTACTCTGAGCTCCTTAGCAACACGTGTGTCATATCATGCTTTATTTGTATTGGCCAGGTAATGTGGCCATCTCCCTGTTTACTTTCAGAAACGAAGAAAAAGCAGGTAAATGCATTGTGGCGGGGATTGAAGCAAAAGTGATTTGTATGTTTTAATAAAGATTCCTTTGGGGCTGGAGTGGCTAGGAAGTGTTGCAAAGATGCAGGAAGGGGAAGAGGGAGAACCCACCTCAAATCCTGAGCAAGGACGAGGCTAATGAGATCTGCAAGGAACAAGAGTGTACGGAAGGAAATTTCTTTCATGGGTGGTGAGGGGTGGCAGGACAGCAGCATGATGTACAGAAACCATGTTGTTCAGGGAAGCACACGACTGCCTGACAGGTAAGCCCAGGCTCTTGCTGGAGGAAAGGGTTCTATCTCACAGAATGGGTACTTAGAGATTTTACTATATTAAATGGTATGTACGTACTAAAAATAGAAGACGTGCATGCCACAGAAAAGAGGGACATATCTATGTATTATCTCTCACAAACAGGCCAAAATGATGGTATAATCATAAAGATGTGCAAGGATTCTTTTTTAAGTAAAGGAATCATGCAAAAGTTCCTAGCCTGAGAGCTGTTGTAAGTTCTGACTGAGACAATGTATCACCGTCTCCATATTTAACAGACATCATGTGTTCTTGCATCTTTCCCTCTAAGTAAACTACCTTCCTCTTTGTGCAGCTCTTAGCCTCAGGACCTGCCCAGCATGAGTCAAACGGAGGTGCCTGCATTAGGTGACCAACGGCAGGATGCCCCTGCCCCGTTCCTCCAGCAGGTGCTCTGGAGGACTTGGCCAGCTGCTCTCCCACTGTGGCATTTTCCTCAGTGCAAGGGTGGCAGGTGAGTCTGGAGCAGGTGCTGACACGGTTTCCCGTGCATCACACACCCACTCCTCTGCTCTGATGTGCGGGGCGCCAGCCAGCCAGCCAGCTCTTATGGCACTGGGCCAGGAAGGGTGCACAGCACATGTTCTCACCTCCAGTGGCAAAACATTTCGCGTTGGAGCTGGTTCTTTCCAATGACCATGCTGTATTAATCTGTGTTATTTATTTAAAAATGCACAACATATGTGCACAAAAGGACAAGATATGTACCTTTTTCTGGTACATATCTGAAAAAGCCATTTGGAATTTCTTTTCTATTTGTTGTTTAAATGTCTAGTAATATAATAATAATAATAGTTTAAACCAACACTTTTTATTCTTAAGAATAAAGGCTTCGGCAAGGGGCGGCATAGACATGTTCTAATAAATAAATAAATAAATAAATTTAAGGAAGATGGCGGGGCACAGCAGGTGGTTTAGGAATTCAGATTTTAATTAAGCCTCCTCTTTCAAAATGCAAATCACAACTCTGGGCAAAAGGAAGGCTTCTCAGTGTGCTGTATAGCTTCGTAAGCACCGCAAGGAGTCTCAAGAAATTGGGCAGGAGAAAGAATGGGGGAACACTGCAGCAAGGAAACCATACTCAGTGAGAGAGATAATGGATCTGATGACCCTAGGACTCTTTTGCATATTTGATTTGGTATGCACTTTTCTCTCCAAACAAGCACAAATCCCACTGTGGAATAAACAGTGGCTCTTTCATCTTTCCCTTTCAAATGATAACTGCATGAATAGGACCTTATGAGTTACTCCTTCTGTTAACTGCTGATTTTGATCAGGGAAACTAGCTTGTAATTTGGGAGAGGGAGGAACTCCCCTCACCCCCAACTAATATAGGCTTTGTCTAAGAGGGACAGTTACTCAGTTCAGATCAATGGACAATGAAAAAATCGTGGAGGAGCAAGCTATCAATGGCTAGTCGCTCTGTGCTACCTCCCATATTAGAGGCGGTATGACTGTGTACACCAGTTGCTGGTGAACGTGAGTGGCGGTCTTGGCACTCATGTGGCCCTCTTGTCCTGCTTGTGAATTCCCTGTGGCTGGCTGGCCACTATGTGAACTGACTGCTGGACTAGATGGACCCTTGACCTGATCCAGCATGCCATATTCTGAAAGCTGACCAGTTCTTAGAACCAAATTCTCTCTGAAGGACAAATAATCATACTGAGAAGCACTCCATCTTGCTGCAGTCTGAAATACATACAATACCTGAATTGCATGTTATGAGCTAAGTCTTCATCTGTTTTTATCTGGATTTCTTTCCTCTTAAATAATTCCCAGCTGATAGGTTTCTGGCTGCCAGGACATTTTGATTCCTCTGAACTCTAAAAATTATCCTGTATCCTTTCTTTGTTTAGACTACCCGATACTGGAGTAAACTTGTTTATCAGTTGCCTGTCACGGCCATCTGGACACAAAAAGAAAGGACCCAAGGAGGAAGCTCTTTTTCTAATTCGTCCAGCCTTCTGCATTAAAGATAAACCACACTCCAGCTGTATGGACTGCCTGGTGATCAAACAAATAGCTAATGAAAGGCTTGCTGCAGACACCAAGTGCCCAACACTTTTTTTACTTGAAAACTTATACCCATCAACACAAACATGTACCCATCAACACACCGAAACAGAACAGACTGAGCAAATCTTGATGATGCAAGTTCTCAAAATGCCTCTAACTATTACCATACTTACTTCATCACATGGAGCTATCCTGTGGATAATGTCTTTCAAACAACCAATCATCTTTTCTTCCTGGAAATCATATGGAAATGTTTCTGTCCATTCTGTCAATAATTGAAGAATTTTGGGCCCAAATTTTCTGATTCGTGCCTGAAATTAGAAATAAAATATTGAAGGATGCCTATCTGTATGAAAATTCACAGTTAAATATATATTTCCCACTCTTTGTCTATTCCTATATTTATTTTATCTTAAATATATATATAACTCAAAGTGATACAACAGTGTCAGAATAGACTGTAGGTGTAGAAAATGGAGGAATGTGCAACCAAATGTCAGGAATATCCAAGTAGGGATGCTTAAGGAATTCAATCATGCTGAATTCCAGTAAATACTAACCACACCTGATTGGTTAATATGCAGTTTGTACAGAGCTATCTATCTGACTTCATGCCCTCCAAATGCAGTTCTTGGCTCAAAAAAGTATCAAAGGGCATTTTAAAATGTGCATTTGGAAAGAAAATATATTTAGAGAACAATACTGTTTATGTTTAGAGATGCACAAAGGTCCTACAATTCCTAGCATTTCCCCACTTCAAGTTTTTCTATTTTCTGCTTCTAAAATGCCTGAAGTCAGAACATTAGTATAATACATTATTACCACTTTCTAAATATTTTAGAAGCAATTCAAGCAACCTTTTTTCAAACAGTGCATACATTCAGTATTTTAATAGAAACACAGAATGAGAACGCAGAGCATTCTTGCTTTAGCCTCTGAACCAAAGGTACCCTCTAATCAAACAAAATTATATTGTATGTAGTGAAGCTTCCTGCTTTCCCCACAAAATTGCCCAAAATACCCATTTTAGCATAGGAACACAAGGGTTGCCATGCTGGAGGGTCCATTCAGTCCAGCATTCTGTCCCATAGCAGTGAATCCACACCTCATAGGGTCCCTTGATTCTCCACTGAGCTGGCTAAGATGCAGATGTGGGGCTGAAGAGTCCTAGGATTTTGATCTGGAGAGATTTCAATATCCATGGTGAGGCTGCCTTGAAAGACTAGCTCAGACTTCATGCCCTCCATGACAACCATAGGGCTGTCTCAATTTGTCAACATCCCAACATGGACATGACATACCCTTGATTTGACCTTTGTCTCAGGCCATGAGGTGGTCTGGATGAGGGCAGGGGAGAAATCATCTTGTTATCATTGTAAGATCACTGCATGCAAAAATTTGGCCTCAAGGTACTAGTCCCTCCGTGCAAGGTTGAGGGATACATTAAGATGCGCTGCCTCTGGAGACTGATGGAATCCATGGAATTTCTGAATGTTCTAAGAGAAGCTTTCAGTAGCCAGAGCTAGTGATTATGTTGACATCCTTGTCACACTATGGAATAGTGAGGTGTGACAGGCCATTGACACCATCATTTGCAGTGTCCTTGTCAGCCCAAGAGGCTCCCTGGTTTACTGGAGAGTTCTGGCCAGAGAATAACACTGGGTGACTGCATCTTGACCCCACAGCAACCGAACTGTGGGATACCACAATTACCTTCATGTCCCCCAATATTGTTTAATATCTATATGGAGCCAAAGGGAATGGTCAGCAGGAGATCTGGGGCAAGGTTTCAGCAATATGCTCTATTTTTCTGTGAGGGCTGAATCAGGAAAGGCTGAATTGATACTTGGATGGAGTTCTGCCTTGGATGAGGGCTAATAAACTGAAGCTGATGAGACTCTATGAGTTAGCTGTTCCCAGATCTGGGAACTGTCCTGTTTGGCTGTTCTAGATGGGATTGTGCCGGATCCTTCGTCTCTGGAGACTCAAAGACCTTGGTGGCCCAGAGTGCCCACTACTCACTTTGGCTGGTATGCTGACTTTGCCTGTTCCTGGATCTGGGGAAAACCTAGCCATGGATATTCAGGCACCCAGAACCTCATGAGTACACGACTGTAATGCAGTCTATGTGAGGCCAAGTCCAGATCTGCAGGTGGCGCAGAAAGCAGCAGCTGGGGTGCACATTGCAACACCCAGCTGTGCCCACACAAGGCCTATTGTAGAGAAATGTACTGTCTGCTTTTGAGCTACCAAGCCATGTTCAAGGTGATGGCAGTATTGTACAAAGTCTGAAACAGGTCAAACCTCAGCCCCTTATATATACACAACGGACTGTTAAGATCCGCAGAGGAGGCCTTGCTGTCCATTCCAAGATTACGCGGATGTTGCCATGCAATCTCTCGACAGCAGCCTTCTTGGTGTTGGTGCCCACCCTGCAGGAAAAAACTCCCTTATCCCATTTGGGAGGGGGGGAATGTGGCATCTCTCAAATGCCTCCTAAAAATGCATCTGTTTACTCAGTTTTTCTATGGGTTGTAATTAAAATAACCATGCTATTTTATGTTATTGTACCGCCACCGCCACCATTGTGTTATTATTCATTGTCCTTAAAATTGTATTTAAATGAGAATACAATGATGATTTTAATATTTATACGGTGCCCACCTAGGGATTTAAAAATATTTAGTGGTGTATAAATAGTACAAATAAAGGAACGCCCATAGTGTCAGAAGTTAAGGGCAGGTTCTGTCCTAACTGCAACAGTGTTCATATCTTCAGCATGTCTATGGAGAGATAAGTTATCAGACTGAGTATTTTTGCTTCTGCCTTGCTGGAATGCGTCCATGCCTAGCCCACGGGGACCCCAGGTGCTGAAAATCAAGCTTCTCTCATCTGCAGGGTGTGACAAAATGTTTCAAAAATATATTCTGAAAATAGCAACATATATGACCAAGTCATCCTATAAGTTCGTTGCTCATATGTTTGTATGTTTATGCTATTTATTTAATTGTAATTCTTATTTCTAATTTATTTTTTAAAATGCGCATATGTACATATTTGTAAGAGAAGGGGGAGATAAATGAGAAATGACCGGGGAGAAGAAATACAGAATGTTTACATATAAAACATTACCAGTCTTTCAGCAAAATGTTAATAGCAACAACAAAAAAATTAACATGAGAATCTGCAGTTGATCATTTGAAATAACTCAGCAGAATGAATATTTCTGGATGCATCTGATACCTCACTGAGCCTCAGTATGAACTATTTTTACAAGATTTGAAAGCTGAGCCAACACTGCAGACTATCATTCTCAGTGCCAGTCTTTATCTTCAGTGACAGAATTGCCAGATGGGGGATGTATAATCCTCTCCCTTCCACCACACTCAGCTTTAAAAGGCAGTGGATCTGCTATCCAAGCACTACTGGCATTCGAATGGAAGTTGTAGCAGTGGTGGATGAGTTAGTGTGTTTTAAGCCAATTTCTAGAATGTGTGTGTAGTTGCATTAAAAAAGCACTGCAGAAACTGAACATGTGAAAAGAAGTAATTTCGGATGCTCAAGTCCTGTACTCCATATTTCAACAGAGAGAGTAGTGATTGCTGAAAACCATAATAGTATGGCCTACAATATTCAGGTTGAACGTATGGAAATGAGAGGATAGCAACATGATCGGTCCTAAGCATCCTCTCCTGCCAGGCAGCACCCATTCATTTCCATGGTATACATCTGAATTACGGGCGATGAAGCGGGTTGGGCAACGGCTAGAGCGCAGGTGGAGGAAATCACGGGACTGGGAGTAGGAGGCACTGCTTGGCAGTGGTTCCACTTCTACCTTGCCAGCCGATTCCAGAAGGTGGTGCTGGGGGACTTTGGCTCTGCGCCATGGCTCCATTTTGTCCCCCTTGCTATTTAACATCTACATGAAAGCGCTGGGACAGGTCATCAGGAGGTGTGGGCTGCGGAGTCATCAGTATGCTGATGACACCCAGCTCTACCTCTCCTTTTCAACTAATCCAGGTGAGGCAGTGGCTGTCCTGAACTGGTGCCTGGCCAAGATAATGGCTGGATGAGGGCCAATAAACTGAAGCTCAATCCAGATAAGACGGCGGTCCTGTTGGTAGGTGATTCGAGTTTCTGGGTAAGTGACATGGGCCCTGCCCTAGACGGGGTTGCACTCCCTCTAAAGGACAGGGTCCATAGCTTAAGAGTGCTCCTCGACCCGGAACTGTCCCTGGAAGCCCAGGTGACAGGGGTGGCGAGGAGTGCTTTCCTTCAGCTCCAGCTGATCTACCAGCTGAGTCCTTACCTGGAGGAGAACTGCCTGGCAACAGTGACACATGCACTGGTTACCTCCGTTTGGACTTCTGTAATGCACTCTACATGGGGCTGCCCTTGAAGATGGTCCAGATACTTCAGATGGTGCAAAATAGGGCTGCCAGGATGCTGTCGGGGAGTGGTCGTTATTCTCACATCTCCAGTCCTCTATCAGCTCCATTGGCTTCCCATTGAAGTCCAGGCTCAATTCAAGGTGCTGGTTATTACCTACAAGGCCCTAAATGGCTTGGGACCAGGATACCTAAAGGAATGCCTTTTTCCCTATGTGCCCTCCCAGCCCCTAAGATCAGCAGTAGAGGCCCTCCTCTGGGAACCCTCTTTGATAGAGGTTAGGAGACAGAGTACTCGGAAGACAGCTTTCTCTGCAGTGGCGCCCCGACTATGGAATACTCTCCCTAGAGAGGTCCGCCTGGCGTCATCATTATATGCTTTTCAGCACCAGGTCAAGACCTTTTCATTTAACCAATATTTTAAAGTTAATTAATTTTAATGGTATATTTATTTATTTAATTCATTTTAACTATGCTATTTTATACTGTCGTGGTATAGCCAATTTATTTATTTGTTTAGGATTGGTGGGTTTTAATGTTTGTAAATCACCGAGAGAGCCCTCTGGGCTATTAGGGTGGTATATAAATGCAAATAATAAAATAAAAATAAAATAATTTTCCTGCATTGTATTAGACAATCGTAACCTAACAATGACATGAACACATTTCTCTATGTGCTGGATATAAAACAGTGCTTTCCAGTGTAAATATACAAATGTTTAGTCATTGGAAGTTTAACGGGAACTGTCTTCTGCTATGGGGAGTTGACGGGACAGGTAAACTGAAAAGAATGATTACAAACTATACCTGAGGCTGAGGGAGAAATGTATTAAGCAACACTGAGAGAGACAAGACTGCAGTGACATCTGCTCTTGACAGCATACAGTTTAAATCCTACTTCCTGGCACCCTGAAGGCTTCAAGAAATGAAGGGGAAAATCACCTGGGAAAACTGACACAGGCTGCAAAAAGGAAGGTAGACGGATATTTCAAGTGACTGCCACACTGGGTGCCTGGAGCTTTGCTCTGGGGCACCGATATTCTATTAGAATGCTACTGTGGCACACACTCAGTGTCAACAGCTCCCCCATCTCCAGGAATGGATGCACACAGCCAGAAAGGAGTCCAAAGAGAAAGCAGAGAGAGAGAAAAATTAGGCGCTTTCTCCATTCTGCTTCTGGCAAAGGCTGGGCCCTGGGAGACAGCCAGCCAAGTGGGTCCTCAAGTAGGTTCTGACAGAAGGAAGCTGCAGCTGGCAAGGCAAGGAGCAAGAGTCTGTAAATAAGAGCACAGTAAGGCAGAGACTGCTAGCAACTCAGACAGTGCTCCGCAGGAGCTTCCAGGCTGGAGTAGTTCCTCATGAAAGAAGTTGCTTGCCCAGCAAAGGAGTAGCAGCAGCTCAGGGCTTGGGTAGGCTGCTCAGCTCAGCTGCACCAGAAGTACCACCTCCCACTGAGTACAGCTTGCAGCATTAAAAGGTCCATGCTCCTTTCTGTAGTCTGAGTCTCCTAGATGTCTGAGGGACCCAAGAGGCTTTGAGACAGTCATTCTTAGAGGCTGCGACTGATGGAAGGGATGAATCCCTGGTCTAGGGGACGTGTCAGAGTTTCTGAAGTGACCCTCATTGGGCCCAGATTCCTCTTTTGGGTGATGCCAATCCTCCAGACCTAAGGCCATGACACATCAGCACTGCTGTCCCTTTGCAAATTTCAACCAGCACAACCCCTTCTCCTATCAAAAGTACTAACCTTATCCAGCACTGGGTCATCGAGCTGTTGCTGCTCGATGCACTTGTGGCAAACTCTGGACAGAAGTTCATGAGGCTCAATGAAGAGTCTTGAGCTCAGCAGGAATGTAAAGATGTAGGCTTTCTGAGAAAGGGAAACAGGCAAATGTATCTGAGGATAACTGGACAGAACAATAAATAGGTTATAGCACTACCATGCAACACAGAGAGTCTACTGAAAGGAGACGTGACCTTCCACAGGCACAAAATGAATAGCTCTGATATAACCACTGCTATCCATGGTGCCTGCGCCATGTGAACCTGAGAAAACTAATGTCCTCTTTCTCAAAGTGGGCAAAAGCAAGACATGAGCCACTGCCATTCCCCAGAAACTGTCAAGCATGTTGCTTCTGATCCTGGAGTCAGCATATGACCACCATGCCTAGTAGCTATTGACTGCCTTATTCTCCCAAATTACTCAAGTTGGTCACATCTTGTGGCAGATGCAAGTTCTGTAGTTTAACCATTCAACCTCTGTGAATAATCTTTTCTCTCACCTGACTTATCTCTCTCATTATTCACCTTCACGGGACATCCCTGAGTTCTAGTACTAAGAGGGAGGAAGAAAAACTTAACCTTAGCTACTTGCTCCATATCTTATAGCCCCCAGTGTTGTAAGCCTTCCACACAGGGAGTTACTCTAGCCCCATGATAACTTTTATTGTTCTTTTTCAGCTTTACAAAATCCTTTTTCCAATGGACTAATTGTAATAGTACACAGCAGTGGACATGGGCCAACATGTAGAAATTTATGTACAGGATCACAGCCTACATGTTTCCATGAACTATATTTGAAAGTAGTTTGAATGCTACACTGCAGAGATCTCCACTCTAGGGCCCTTCAGTTGTTTTGAGTTTCAGCTTCCATCATACCACTCATATATGAGCAGCACGGCCAAATTCAGGAATCCTGGGACCTGCCATCTGAAACACCTGGAAGATACCAGGTTCATGAAGGCTAGTAGACACACTTACCTGGAAGCATGTCCCACTGAACCTAATAGGATTTATTTTCAAGCAATCTTTAACAGAATTGAGATGTTAAAGTGAGTATTGCTACAGCCAATGGATCTGCACCTATTAAAAATGAGCTGCTATCATTACTACTTCCCTATCTTTATATCAGCTGTTTGATAGGGAGAAAAAGCCATAACATTAAGAATGAACATCTGCTTCATAACTAATAAGCAAAAAGATTATTTTATCACACTTGCAAAGATGTTATTTTTTTCACAGCTTGCTCAAAGGGCAAAATTAAATGGTACAATCAATCTATAATAGACATATATATATATCTTGCTCATGTATGCAGCATCATGTTCATGTGTAGGTTGCTCAAGATGTCAAAATTTGCTGAATTTTAATGTACTGCCTTAACATTTATCTCCAGTCCACAGTGTCAAGCTATTTAAAAATAGACACACTTTTCACAGGCTAAGGTAGCTTGACTGCTCACTTCCTTTAAAGTAAATGGTAATTGTTCCCAAGCAAATACTTTTAAAACTGAAGGCTATAGGAATGCACTAATGACTTAATTTAAACCAGTCAGATGAGGCAACAAAAGTCAGGCTTGGGAGCAGTGATACCATAGCCCAGATATTAGTACACCTTTCCTTGGTGCCTGCATATGGACATTAAACTGTAAATGAGACACAGTGGGATTCTGTGGGGAACTTTAAGTCAATAGCCACAAAGTCAAGCAATACTATCTTTTAAGGCAGGACTGCAACCATTATAAAATAATCTTTGTAAACCCAACCAAGAGTGATCCTGAAGAAAACAATGATCAATGGTGCTGAAAGCTGATGAGCGGTCCAGAAGAACCAACAGGGATATTCCCACCCTATCCTGTTGCCAGCATATTTGGAAAACCATGGCTGCTTCATTTCTCAAAACTGTTAGAAACCAGACTAAAACGGATACAAATAAGCACCATCATCCAGAAAAAAACTAGAATTGAGTCTCATACTCAAATAACTTCCCTAAAAATGGTTTATTTAAGACTGGCACATAGCTATCCAAAATATAGTAGTCCAAAGACACTTTTTCCTTGCAATAAAGGCCTAAGTCCTGATGCTATGAAACATGCCTTCTTCCAAAGAGGCATTATTTCCTCTCCCCTAGTTGTTTTAATCAGCCATGTTCAGTAAGGTTCAAGAGCCCAACTTATCTTCCATATACATTAGGCTTTGTAACCTAAAAGGGATGCATAATAGGACAAGCAGCTGCCATAAGTACTTCACTGTGGAGATCAGGCTATGAATTTAGCTCCAAGGTGTCTTGCAAATTGGTTACAGTAAGCTACTGAATGAATTTCTAACCAAGCTTTTCAGTTTGGAATAGACTCGCTGACCATGATTCACCATGCGGTTTTGTCCTAGCACTTCAAGAACCCAAAGCCTTGATAGAAGCAGGAACTTAGGAGATATCAACTTATTTAAGAAGTTGGCCAGCCACATTTACAGGAAAATCCTCTAGAGCGATTAAGAACCTATTCATCTGTGAACCATTGAAATGGGCTTAAACAAGGGAGCAATCTGCCCCGGTCAAGAGAAGTACATTAAGTCCCCTGAGATGACCATTGATCCTAACCAGTGCAAAACATCAGATATGCCAATTAAGAGATTCCCCAGCTGTTGTGAAACCCTGAGCTGCACCAGACAAGGAAGTCTCTGTGCAAATCTTGGAAATCCCCCCAAAATCAACAGTCCAGGAGATAATAACACTGCTCCAGAAACCACACTTGTCAGTTCAGACAGGGACACTATAAGACAGTAGAGAAGATGGTACACCAACAGAATCTCAATTTACCCAACATCAGGTACAAACACTTAAAATGCTCGGATGGGGTATCCAGCATCTTCGTTGGCCCTCTTTAAGAATGCTGTGTTCTGAAGAACTTTTGCCCTGCTACAAGCTGGTATTGTGCTTTGGCTAAGGCACAGATGGGTAACCTGTGGCCCTCCAGATTTCTTCCTATAATTCTGATCATGCCTCAGTATTGGCTATGTTGGGCAGGGTTGATGAGAGTTGGAGACCAAAACATCTGAAAACCACAAAGGACTAAAGAAATGGTTCTCACTCAGCCTAGAAGAATATCACCAGCTCTTGGATGTTCAGCTAATTTATTATTTCTTCACTTTTGACAGTGTTCCTAGGCATAAGAGGCTTTATGGCTTTTTAAAGTGCTCCATTCAGGGCTAAACCACCTGTTTGTCACCATGAAGCAGTACTTTGTGTCCTGTAATCTTCTTTAAAATCGGAAGCATCACAAGAAACGCCCTTCTATCACGGGGCATTGCTGCAGAACAAAGGCACTTAGAGTTATATGTGAATATTACACTGTCCTTTGACTGTTTGGAAAAAAACTTCTTAATTAAAAATGCAGATGCTTTGCAAAAACCAATGATCCTATTCAAGAAAATGAAGTTGCAGCTTGCATAGACGAAGCGCTTACCTCAGGGTAGTAGTCAGCTGTAGGTATAAGATGTTGGATTAAAGCATCAAGAGATGCTGAAGTAAGGTTTCCATCTTGAAAGATCAGTCCTCCTTCACCATCTTCTTTGGATGGATGGAGATGATGAGGGCTGAAGCCACAGGGAGTAAACATGCTGGTAGAGCTCAATGTTTGGGGCATGCCTTCCTGTAACAAAGGTAGAGCAAGATCTTCATGAAAAAAGAGATGAACAACTGAAGCTATGACCACAAACTGTAACTGCCTGGCAGTGAAGGAAGCTAAGGAAAGATCTGTATTTGCAGAGCCTGCCTGAACACATTTGGAAGCAGACTTTTTACATCTGCTGCAGGACTTTTGCTGCCTGTGTTTATTTCTCAGTATGAGGAAAAAGAAAAATAATAGAGGAGGATGGGAATGACTCTTAAAGGCAGCAAATTCCCTCCTTTCCTCTTTTAAGTTTTTCTACTCAGAGCATCTGAATATGTTCAGCTTTGGTGATGCTAAGGCCCTGTTAAAAGCTTGATTCCCTCTCTTAAGTGTTGATACTACAGATTACTGTATACATTGAATGTTGCCAGGTTCTGGTTGCTATTTATTACTTATTTACTGACAGCTAACAATACTCAAATATATAATAAAATATAAAATTATAATTAAAATGAAGAATTAAATCAGTTTAAAAGTATCAAAAAGAAATAAATAGCACATGCCAATTGAAACCTACTTCAGCAATCTGCTTAAAGGTCAAAAGCTTGCCTCAGTGAAGACATATTTTAATTCTGCAGGAAAGACAACAGAATCAGAGTTAACTTGGCTTCCCTTTGCAGACCAGGAAGCACCCACCAGGAAGGCCTTCTCTAGCATGCCTATCAAATGCATCTTTAATAACAGCTTGACAGGTAGAGGAGCCTTTTGTTAGGATCTTAAAAACTAGATGGGCTCAAATAGGGCAGTATGTTCTTCAAGTAAGACTTACCCAAGTCTATAGGTCACAAACAGCATTTTGGATTGTGCCCAGAAATGGACTAATGGCCAGTGAACCTGTTGTAACAATCAACTCACATGCTCCTTATAAGCACAGTTTCTAAATACTCTTCAAAGACGGTCACACACAAAGGTGCTACGGTAGTCCAAACTGAATATAAATGGGATGGCCAAACCAAGGCTCATGTGCCGCACACAGCTCTTTGAGTTTATTTTGTGGCTCGCAGAGGGCCAAGGTCAAATATCCACTCAGCTATGTTGCTCCTGTGATATTTTTGAGCCAATCATACTCTCAACATGACCTACCTCATACGGTTGTTGTGAGGGCACAATGGAGCGGGGAGAACTACGTACACTGCCTTAAGTTCTTGGGAAAAACCAGGACACAAATATAGTAACAAGCAAATATGGGGAGAGAGGCCTTTCCATACAGGCATTTTTGGGTTTCAAATGGCCACACACACACATAACAAGGATGATAATAATCCATAAAATAACTTAAAGGAAGAAAAAGTCCTAATATTAGGGGTTTTTAAAAGAAACGGAAAAGGATGTTTTCTTTTACAACTTCCTTCCATGCATTTTTACCATTTTGCTCACACACTAGAAAGATCGACAGTTCCAATCAACCTATTTTTCACCAGTGTAGCAAGAAAACCAGATTATGCAACAGAACAGTCATTCTGAGGCACAATGCTGGCATTTAGTAAAAAGGCACCAACCCTGACATTCCCTTAGATTTAGACCACTGGCTAACATTTGCCAGGTCACAGTCCACAGTTCAAACTATGGACAAAGGGCAGAGCGGGAAGGGAAAGAGATGGCAGTGCACTAAACCCAGGCGATGTGGGAGTCCAGCATTCTCATGACCTCATTGCTCAGTGAGAAGGCCACTGCTCAGAATATTTGCAGTCTGCTCTGTGCCACTCTTACATTTCTGTCCAAAAAAGCTGTGACAATATTGTCAGTACTGACTGCCTCGTGGATCACCAGCTACTACAACTGAAAAGCAACAGTCTTGTCCTGATTAGAAATCAAACCAGGATTGTTCTTAATTTCAAAGGACAAAATGCTCATTAACGGTAATTGCACTCATATAACTTGAGCAAGGGCAGAACGCACAGCAATAATACCTTGCTTTAAACAGGGCTCAGTGTATTTGTTCATAGGGATCTGTCATGTCTCAGATAATTGTCGTTTTAGTATATTGCATTAAATTCAATGAACATGTTGTATTAAAACTAGAAAAATGGCCAGATTCCATTTCTTATTTTCAGTAAGCCTTACCATGTCGATGTTTTGCTTCAAAGGCAATAATCTCAAGAAAAAATGACTGTACAGAATGAAGAACATGTATCTCTGAGACAGGAGGTATCACAGCCAAAGCTTTTTGATGTATGTATTTTTTTTAATTTAAAGTTTATCATTTGCTTGACACATACTTTCCAATGCAAAGTACAAATTTCTGTCTCCTACTTTATGCCATACAATTTAATTCCTTCCAGTCAGCCTCACTGCATTATTAGCTAATAGAGATGTCATTATGCAAAGGAGTTTCTGTGTATTAGTCATGTATATAAAACAGTATTTTTAAAAAGTGAAAGCTGAACAGAAATGACTCATTCCTGAAATCAACCTTGTTTTTTTTTTTAAAGTCAAACACAGTTCTTTCAATGTAGGTTGTAAAGCATGTGGAGGAAACACAGGGGCTATGTCTGGTGTTGTCTTAGAAGAGCCCATCTTGCCAAAGAAGAAACAATGTACCATGTGTTCTAAAGTAACAATATCCAATCGGTAAGTCAGGTACCAATCCACCAATTGGTGAAAACCTTGTCTGGTTTGCAAGTAATAGCCAACAGTTTGATTTGCTGGGACACTAAGAAAGTGGACTGGTTTGCATAACATGACAAGTAATTGTGGTTTCTTGAAGCAGGATGGTCCATTGTGTCATCTGAATCTTCTCATAGTATTTCAGCAAGATATGCTTGGTTTTTAGAAACCACAATAAGAAAAAACAGTCTGTTCTATCATTTCCATGCTTCACCATGGTTTTTTCTGGTTGTCCAAACCTGGCACTATGGTTTCCACAGTCCTGCTATCCAGTTACCACAGAGTCCCTTGGAAAGCACAGCAGCTGCTGCAAGATCTGATCCAGCTATCCAGCATGGGATTGAATTTCAGGTGCGGTGGCTGATGGGATACATGGCGAAAATAGGAGGACTGAGTGCGGATGCTGAAACCTACGCTAGTGTAGAAGCAACTTAACTGGCAGGTCCATCCTGGTCAAAAACTGCACACCTTAGAAACCATGCAGGTTTGCTTGTTGTGCTATCTGAGCCCAACCACTGAGTGCACCACCAGCTTGCTGCTTTCACTTCTTTTCTGGCTTATCCATTCTTTGGTTGTTTGCCGCAACATATGAGCATGAGACTCTGGATTATGGAGGGAGAAACAAAGCTCTGGGTTCAGATATTGCAGTTAGATAACCCTGAAAAAGGGTGACCATGGGTTCTTTCATAAGCCAGGAAGAAAATGGAGAAGCAAGTAGTCATGAGGCAGTTCCTGTGTAGGCCCAAAACCTCATGGGTTGTTACTCCATGCAAACTGGGGGGGGGGGGGGGATGGAAGCATATGTAATTTAGAAAGCAATTCCTAATGTTTGATGTGAATTGGCCATATTGGTATCAAAATGTGAGGATTTGCTCTCTGTAAGAAGGCTGTATGATTACTGAAAGTCATTGGCTACACAGTCTAGGGAACCACTGCAATCACAAATGAGCCAATAGATCTTTTCCTTTTTTTCTTTTCTTTTTATTAAGTATGTTGAGTTCATCACAAAACAGCTTTATAACTTCTCCAAGAATTAGGAAGGGATTTACCACATGACCTATTTTGACTCATGTTGCACATTCATTAAGAGAATGAACTGCTGTAAGTGAGAAAATTTCTAATTCAAATCTCACCTCAACTAAGAATACAATATAAGACAGGAACAACTGCCTTGGGAAAACCAGTTTCACTCAGCCTCAGATTCTTCTGCGAAGAATACAGGGACACAGTACCTGACCATCATACAGCTCAACAGGATTGTGATACTCTATGTAGGAAACACAACTTCAAAGCCTCAGCTGGACCTACAGAGTTGGTTGCACAATTTGAGAATGTGACTATGGTAAGAAAATACATTGATATACTTTGTTGTAAACCAAAGCTGCACAGGTTGGTTTTAATCCATATAATGGTTTAATTTGTATTTCCTACTATGGTGGAGGTATTATCTCCAAACACATGTACACACACCAGAGTGGAAAACTAGCAAGTGGTAGCCTTCCCACAATTGATCATATCACTTCTATTCACTAATCCATCTGTTGCATTTGCATCTCACCCACCTTCCAAGAAATTCAGGGCAACATCCAATTGTCCCCTTTTAATTGTATGACTCTGTGTGAGATGTATTACAATGACCGTCTCCAACTTGGTGCCCTCTAGATGTGCTGGACTACAATGGCCATGCTGTCTGAGCCCTGTGGGAGTTACAGTCCAACAAATCTGGAGGGCACCATATTAGGAAAGCCTTGGTCAGCAGCCATTACTTTCTCAAGGCTTGCTTTATGGACAGCAGGCATTTGAATTCAGCTCTCTCCATTCCAAATCCAGCATACCCTTTGATACACTACACTGAAAATACACAAAGCAATAATCTATAACATTTTGAGGCACAATTGTAGATAGACTGGTAGTCTGACCACTGAAAAACTGTGTGTCATACAATGGATTCTGAATTTTTTTTGAGGGACACATATTTCCCCTGCAATGAGAACTGTATGTTAGATTTTATCTTAGTCAAATCCACAAATAAGAAGAAAAAGAAGGTTAACTGGAAGGAGAGACTAAGCTGCATGCCTTAAAAATAATATCCTGCTTTTTCCTCTTTTTCAAAACAGTGCAAGTCCACGGTTTGGAGCTTTTTTTGTTTAGTTTTTGCTTGTATTTATAACAGCAGCAAAAAGGGCTCAGTAATATATCTTCATCTTTTATTCTTTTCAGTACTTCCTTGTTCATATTCATTGTATTTATCATTTTCATTTAAATTACAACATAGCACTGCTATCTTCATTGGCCAATAGCTAATACCAATAAAGATGACTTGAAAAGAGCTTTGCAGTAAAATCTTTGGATTCCATTGCATACCTGTA